GTTGTGTTAATTGCATTCTCAAATTCGATTATGATTACAGCATCCCTCTTCATAGTTTGAATGGTGGGAAATGTAAAATAGTCTAAACATTCGGGACTTGCTGTTGTAAGTTTTAAAATAATTTAGACACACATATGAGCAATCTATGGAAAGGTGTATTATTTTGAGAAACCTAGATAAAGTATTATCGAAGCATCTTGTATCAGAAATCAGAAGTTTGGTAAGAAAGTCAATAATTATTGTTTTCTAGAAGTCTAACTAATTTCTGAGTACATGTTAAAGCTAGTGGGAGCATAAGTGTTATGTTGGAAACAATGTAATTATTATGCTAGTGGGAGCAGAATTATTACGTTAAGTGTTGTGAGTTAGCAATACTAATTATAGGAAACAAAGTTTTAATTTTTAGAGTTGCAGAGTTTGAAAAGTTGGTTCGCTATAGTAGGTTTTAAAGGAGAAGAACTAATACTTCATTTGGAATCTAAAAGCTTAAATTGAGATTTTAATAGAACCTAGGCATGTACATACATGAATGTTATATTGAAATGTTTTAACACAAGGAAATCCTATATGTGGAAATATTATAGAAAAGGACTAGTCAAGTATCATGTCTTTATGTAAGACATTATCAATCATATCCCATATGCTTCGAGTATAGGATCGATTGCATATGCTATAATATTCGCCTGTTCTGATTTTTCTAAATGTCTAGTGCATTAAGAGGGAAAAAGGACTAGCACTTGATATGACTAAAGTTGTTAAACAACTATTAACGACAATCTAATGTTCATCAAAGATTGGTTGCTTGTGAACAGTTGGAGGTATAGTAATTGATGGACCATATTGATATAATTCGGAATAGATAGGGTTCTATTTAGAACAGATAGTCATATGGAAATTATGGAAATATTTCCATAATGAGAGTTGGATATTATGAACTTTTGTGTGAGTTAGAAACTTTAATGCAAGAAGGATGTTCAAGGAATGCTCTTTGAATTTGAGACTTTAATTCCTGGGAATTGTCTTGTAACATTGTCAAATGGAATAGTTTGTAATATCATTGGCCAAGTCTCTGTGACTTTTGTGCCTAGACATTACAAAAGGATCATTGCATGTAAGTTTAGGCTTGAACAGATTCTAGTAGTGGTAAAATTTTGTATTCTTACACTTATAATAATGATTAGCTAGGGAATCGTGAAATGAGCATCATTGGAAATGTGTTCAATTGATTTATTTCAAAAGGTAAGGACTATAGGCGAACATAGTATGCATGCTTGGAGCATGGGATAACTGTTGTTGTAATTCAAGTATTAAGTTGATTAATCGAAACATTATACATTGAATAATGTGTAATCAATATGGTTGAGTCCACATTGGCTTGGATTATTCTTGTGTTTCACTTTGAATGTTTTACTTCCCGAATAATAAAGATTATTCAAACATCCACAATCAATCATACTTTGGAAGTACGTAATGAGGTAAGACTGTGATGAATCCGATTGTAGTTTGTCTAAACTGTCTAGACATACCACAAGTTTACTACAGTCTTCATGAGTACTCTTGTAATAAGATTTGAGTATTGGATTAAACCCACGCTCATCTGAATCACTTCATGGATTTCATCACGAGTGATTGTGAGACGATAATATCTTATATTCTTGAAACGTAGATATATGAGTTGTAGTTTCCAAGTCGGTTTCACATTGATGATACTTAAACGCACCAGTAACTTGGTATTATAAAACGTATTGTTGTGTGTGAATTGATGAGTAAATTGAGCAAGTATATGCGTCAAATTTTGTTCCTTCCTTTTACCCAAAGTGGGATAAAATCGATATCTATGGGCCCCTCGATGATTTAGTGACGACACCCTAAGCGCCTAGCCAAGCCTGGACTAAGCTGATGTGTTCAATGTAGTCTGTTGTCAGTCGTCATAAACCGAAAGTCGGGAAATAACACATGGATAGAGAGAATGATTATAATCCATGTCTCAGTCCATACGATATCATTGAGAATAGAGGAATATATGATCCCTTTTCTAAAGGATGCATTACTGATAAGATTAGAGTTCAGCAACGGATTTTGAGAGCTACGATTGCTAAACGGATTCTGAAGTCGTACTTGTAATAATAGTTATTGGAATTATCCACGTGGGATACTATTGGATTAGGTGTCTAAGCCCATAACTATAATTGGTATGTACTTGACCCGATAGTAGCAGGGTCCTTTTAGGTTGTCTTTACCGGAGCAATTTGATAGGATGGATACTTGAGAAAGATGTTATTTTTTATTTATTAATATATTATAAGAATAATATATTAATTGAGAAATCATATTCTTTAATTGGTATTGGTCAATAATTAATTTGGAATTAATTTAGTGATCAAAAGAGATTTATTAAATTAACAAGGACTGATTAAGTAAATCAGTAGTACATATAGTTTGGGGTAATCATCCATGTTGATTAGGATTGACGAATTTTATGTGGGAGTCCATGAAGAGTTAGTCCAAAGGGCTTATCATATGGATTATTGCACTAAAGGCCCAAGGAAGTAAATTAGGGTTTACAAGTGAAACCCTAGGAATTCCACACTATAAATGTAACCTCTAGCATCACCAAAATGCCTCCTAAGAGTTCCAAGAAGAACCCTAGTTGTTTTGGTGCCTATTAGCATCTCTCTCTCTCTCTCTCTCTCTCTCTCTCTCTCTCTCATTTTCCTCCATTTTCTTATGGTATTTGTGATGCATTATAGGCATCGCACTTGAGGTGCTAAGCCCTTGAAAGGTCAACTTCTACAAACTACAACAAAGGGGAATTCATTTAACAAGTTTTTACGTTTCAAATATCAAAGATGTATGCTAGTTGTAGGTTTCATGCTTTGTATAATTTTATTGCATGTATAACTTAAGAAAACTTTGATCTAAATCATTAGGGTTGTATGTGCACCATAGGGATGTTATAGTGCTCAAAACCTATCAAATTGTTCTCGGGCTTAGAATAGTATTTTGTTAATGGGCTTATTATGTTTTCGGTTGTGAGGACCGAAATCACCATGGTGATTTCGGTCACTACTAGAAAAACAGCCTTTTACGAAGCTCATTGTGCGTCGTAAAAGGCTCAGACGACGCGCAAATGCGTGTCAAGGAAGGCCCTGTCATAAAGAGAGACGACGCGCTTTTGCGCGTCATCTATAGACGACGTGCATTTACGACGCTCATTTACGACGCGCGTTTACGGCACGCAATGCGTATCAAGGAAGGCCATGTCATAAAGGAAGACGACATGCATTCGCGTGTCGTAACCATACGACGCGCGTGTGAATGACACGCAATGTGTATCAAGAAAGCCCCTGTCAAGAAAGGTCATGTCATAAATGAAGATGACATACATTTTTGCGTATCATAATTTTAAATGTTTAAATAAATATTATTTATAGATTTACTAATTTTCAAATTAAATAATACATTAAAAATCTCATAAAACAAAATAAAATACCATAAATAACACAGATAATTCATTTCACCAATATGTTAAATACAAATAATTATTCCAAAAGTGAGTAAATGTTATAAAAAATGAACTCATTTATATACAATTGCATCATCTAGCTTACTATGTGCCAACAACTCTCTCTGTGTTTACTTTTGCTTGAGTCTCGTTTCCTCTAACGCTTATAGACATGCCAAAATATGGTATTTTGAGTCTCGTTTCAAGAACCAAAATCACCTTCAATCGCCCAATTAAAGTCTAGATCTTATGTTGTTTGAAAGAAATTGGTGTTTGTAATCTATGAACAAAAAACGCAAAGACCAAGGTTAACATTTTCTATATAGAAAGCACAACTGGACATATGAACATATAATACGCAACATAAACATTTTCATGAAAATGATATAGACAAATAAGTAAGAATGATGATATTGATACCTTAATTACGTCATTGGTGAACGAAATTTTAATTGGTTGATAGCAATACTTGACCTCTGAAAACAAATAAACAAAGGATCGCATAATAATTACCTCAATGGTTTAAGCTACCAAATTACCTTTGAGAACCAGCAGGTGAAAACACTATGTGACCGGCTGCTCTTGTTGTTCATATCTGTTCCTGCCACTTTTATATTTGCAGCACCCTGATAAAGCATGAAAACTAATTTTAAATCCAATATAATCATAAATAAGAAGTAACAAAGTGTAAAGGGGATCCGATTGTACAATGTTATTAAGAGGTTTTCCCTAACTATATATAACCTAATACTACATTGCTATTAACAGAAACCTTGTTTAAAGTAACTATGACAGGAATTGCAGTTGTGTCAAATTGTAGAAACTCTTCATCACTAACATCAACTTCTGGTTGTTTGTCGAAAGGAGCAATGGAAGCAGCTATGACAGGAACTGCATACCAAAAGCAGCCTTTCATCGAATAGAATAAATAATAATAATAATAAAGTAAGATTAATTTTTTTTTAAAAGAAAAAAGAAAAGTATATGATGTTACCTTGATAGCAGCACCTAAGGCATCGAGTATATTCCCATCTATATTTATCACAAAACCATCAATATATAAATCCCAACACACTCTCCCATCCACAATTAACAAAGATGAAAGATTGATTCCCGCTCCTGTCATACAAAAACATTCTTTAAAAGATTTGATGAGGGTAAAACGGTCATTTGACAGACATGCTTTTCAACTACATTACATACCTGCTCTAGTTTTACCACCCAAACAGTAGCTATGCTTTCTCCCTTGTTCAATTTCAAAACAAGAGTAAGAGAAATATCTAAAAGGACTACATAATGTACTATCAACAAGCGACAAGTACCTCTGGACAAATCCATGCATTTCCTGCCCCACGAATCTCGTCACCATCTACAAGATTTGCTCTAATTTCATATAAATTTGCAACCTGCAAAATGTTTGTTCCATGTTCTCTATGAAACATGATTTTTGATTCAATGATTTAACAAGAAAAAGTAGGAGCAACTTAAACAATTATCAGTATTGAAAGTAAAATTGAACCCTGTCAAATGTTGCCATTGCACCAGCCTCTTTATTCTTCATGATTGCCTCATAGGTAGGTGATGTAGGAACATCAGCAACCGAACTAGATAACTTTCTTGAAACCAGCCCACTTCCCACAAATACTGGAGCATCCAAAGGGCCTTGACGGTTAAAAACAACTATCACTGATCCTGCCAACTGCAACCACAGAGATAGGAAGTTAAAACCAAACCACAAATTTGGAAATCTGTAGGTTAGCATTAGCTTACTCAAAAGGAACATACATATCGGACATTTATTTCCACAGAAGGAACCTGACACATAAGGTGATATTCTCCTTCCTCTGGTTCAATTCCAAAATCTCTAGAAGCTTCTAGAGGAACCTTGCCAAACCAACCACTCACATTTTGTAACAATATTCATTAAACCCGAAAACACAATCTTGCAGATATATCCTACAAAAGGGGAGGGGGATGCTTATCAAGAAAAAGGTAATTATGATGAAAGTGTAGTAAAAATGGGACATACAGAAAATGAAGATGGTGCATCTGATATTTGAAAACCCAACCCTGTCACATCAGTTGCAGCCACCACAATAATTACAACTTGCAACCACCATTCATAATTCACATAATATGATATTGATATAATGATAAGAAATAGAGTGAGTACCAAGTTTGGGTATAGGGGATGTAAATATGACATCAAGAACATTATGTCCTTCTCTTGTCACTACTGGAACGTCACTCCCCGTGGGACCCACATGCCCTCTCCCTATACATGCTCTTCTCCATACCTTACACACACATATATTCACAATAGAAGATGGATGTAATATGTATTATTATCCTTCTTTCCTTTTTCCTAATTATAACTCAATTACTTTTCTTTTCTTTTGTTTTGCATACCTCAACATCTTCTACAAAAAGGTCATCAATCTCTTCTGCCGTCTCCATCCACCCCACCTGAAATGTAACTCTTAACCATTATATATATATATATATATATATATATATATATATATATATATATATATATATATATATATATATATATATATATATGCTCCCTGAGTTTAGCTGTTTTTTTTTTTTTTTTTTGCAATTTTGTCTCAAAAAGTTTTCTCCAGGCTTTTTGCTCGTTTAATTGAACAAGTAAAATGACAGTCACCGTTTTTCAAATTTATTTTTTTTATATTTAACTTAATTGCATAAATTTTTTTTCATTTAACTTGGAACAATGTGCTAAGGTCTTCCTGATTTCACTTAGCTTAACATAAAACTCACAACAAATGAAGAATTTCAACTTCAATGGATTCAAAATTCAGATAATAATATAAAACATACTTAATGCAAGACTTTCTCCTTGTGACATGCAAATGTGAACCTACAAAGATGAGTAAAAGAAATCCTTTCGAATAGCTGCAGTGCAGAAAAGATGAGTAAAAGAAAGAAATAGATTTAGCCCAAAGAATGAAAAAAAATATGGAAATATATTTTGTATGAAGCAAAGCAATACCTTACTGGAACAAAAAGACTGACGAATTTGAGATTGGCTTGCCATTTTTGGTTGACTGTATAAAAAAAACATCTGTAGGCAGCCAGCCACCATCTTCTTAATATGTTGCTTGTACTTCTCAACCCATGCAGCTGACAACACAATCACAACCAAGTCCCCAATCACATCAACTATAAGGCCTAACAACCTGTACTTTGGATAAATTATTAAGCCATAGCTATAAACAACATATTCAAAATAATAGGAAATAGCTACCTCTCTCCTTCACTATTCACAAGATGATATGCATTTGTATTGGCAGAAGGGAGCCCCAAGCTCTTACGTAATCTGATGGCTGCATCTATTCTTGTTTCAAGCAGCTTTTCCACATCCAATGCACAGGAAGGATCTATGTGCCATTCATTCCATCCAGATATTAATTAAAATAATCTTAATTCATCAAATAGTTTGTTAACTTGACTCGGGTAATGACAGAATACCCTGATACTTCCTCCTCTAGTTGCATGAGCCTCATACATAACATAGAGCACGATTTGTACAAGCCCCAACAGATTGGATTTGTGTCTTGTCAACCATTGGGCTTCCATCACGAAACAATTGTGTTTTCCCCTTCTTCAGGATAACCTTTGCAACACCTGCAAATTCCATGTTACCATTGTGAAGGTTATATGCTAACTGCTAAGGGCTAAGCCTATATATGAAACCCATAACCAAACCATTTTCCTGATAAGATTACAAACCTAAATATTCTGAATTTATAATTTTAAATATAAACATGTTGCTTTCGAAAGGAAACAAACCCAAAACCTTGTGAACGACCCGTTTTTTGATCCCACATAACCCTCGTATCCCTATTCATTATTATAATAATATAATATAATCATCAATATGATTGTGTGTCGTAGATTTATATCGGGAGTTAAAGGAGATGTATGGATGTATGTACTGACAAACAACTAGCATAAACAGAGAACCATGCAAACAGCATAGCATCAATGACTTCAGGGCTCAGATCACCAATAAATATGTTATAGTGACCTACAATACAAACCAAAAGTAGAAATGCCATCAAATCTATATGTATAAATTCGAAAGAAAAAACTTTAACTCATGTCTTGTTGAATGTGTTGCACCTCTGGACATCTATATGTATAAATTCAAAAAATTTAGGAGTAGTTATTCACTTTCTATTAAGTTGTTCTTTCCAAATTTAGTCAAAATGAAATACTTATATAATGTCGTTCTTTTTATGTTTAGTAAAACAATTTAGGATTGACAGGAAAAGCCTTGTATTACAATTTTTTAAGTGTTAATTCATTTTTATGTATTAAGTAAAAAAGAAGCTCTCATAAATGATTTACCAGATTAAGTATAATCCCATGAAATTAAAAAAAAAATATATCTTATAACTTTCAGTGGTTCATACCTCGAAATTCTTAAGGGGTTCATAAAATAAGAAACTTCCATTTTCAAGCCCTTCTGTACCATATCTGGAGGAGGAACTATTGGCTTCCTCCTTTTGACAAAAGCAAGAGGATAATTGTGTAACAACCAACATGATTCCTTGCAGTTCCTGAGATTTTGAGTAACAAAACAAAAATATTGAGTTTCTAAAGTTTGCATAACAAACAACTTATTAAACTTATTTATATTTTATAGTTCATATTTCACTAAGAAAGCCAAATATGGTTTAGACCTTTAAAACGCATTGCAGGAATAGCTACATTTGTGTTGGATTCTTTCCAAGGCTACAACCTAGTTAAAGGACATTCAATGTCAATACATAATCATAGACGATTAATTTAACCATCCAATCTGTACTAATGAACAGTTCACATATTTGACTATTTTAGGTCAAAATCATGGTTTTGCATTCCGCCTCTTGTCAATCTATTACTCAAAATCGAACTTATAACACATGTATAATCATATTATCATTTCATTTATTGTACTCATCATACATCTACCTCGAATTTATCAATGAGAATTGGCTTACCTTAATAATTTCGCAACTTTTGTCAAGAACACATGCACCATGAATACCACAGCTCTTTTTTTTTCCAATTCAAAGCTTGGTCAAGTGAAAACTGGTCTGGTCCAGCACAGATGGTGGAAAACAACACACAAATTCCTCTGCAATGATGATAGGCTAGGGTTTTAGAAAGAAAGAAGAGAGGAAACGTTTAGAGAGAGAAAGAGAGAGAGAGAGAGAGAGAGAGAGAGAGAGAGAGAGAGAGAGCAAAATTCAAAATAAGGTATCGATGATTGTGATCTTCAGAGATGGCTGTACACTTCTCTAAACCATATCAGGGTGAACCCATACCATCTAGAACTGCAAAACAGAGGAAACGATCATCTTTTTAGAGAGAGAAAGAGAGAGAGAGAGAGAGAGAGAGAGAGAGAGCAAAATTCAAAATAAGGTATGGATGATTGTGATCTTCAGAGATGGCTGTACACTTCTCTAAACCATATCAGGGTGAACCCATACCATCTAGAACTGCGAAACAGAGGAAACGATCATCTTTTTCTCCAACCCATAATAAGGTTATTGTATTTTGAAAAGACATTAAGAACAGTACTATAACTCCGATGCATCCTCCCCTCATCCTTAAACTCTATTCTCTCTCTTTCTGCTCGTTTTTTCTTTTTCTTTTCCATTTTCTGTTCAGTCTTGCCGTGCATACACTAAGACCATCTGGGAAGTAGGGTGATGTCAACGATGGTGGAGGTGATAGCCAGCGGTGGCTGGTTTAGGGCTTTTAGAGAATATGAGATATTTTTGTTTAGAGAGAGAAAGTGGAATCGATGAGAATGTATGCTTCGGTTACTGGATACCAAAAAAATCGATGTAAGCTTGAATGAAAGTAGAATCGATGAGACTGTAGAGAGCCCCAAATTGAAACCTTGTCTACTAGAATCGATTTGAGAGTGAGTGTTGGATTTATTGCTTCCCTTTCCCGGTTCGCTTAACGTTTAGTTACCCTAGTCGATCGATTCAAACTTTCACGAAAAACCCTAGGTAGCAACCGATAGAGACAAGAAGGATGGGGAGAAGGTAGTATTGGATCCGATTTCAAAGAGTAACAGTAGATTTCACTGAAAACCCTTTCCCGGTTCGCTTGACCTTTGGTTACCTCAGTCGATCGATTCAAGCTTTCAATAAAAACCCTAGGTAGCGACCGAGAGAGACAAGAGGGAAAGGAAGGAGCAATCGATAATTAGGGCAGGAGGGAAAAAAGAAAAAGATGCAGGGTTTTTAATTTTTTAGGATTTCATTTTCTACAGGATGGAATGCGCGTTCCATTAAAATTTATAAAGCGACATCTTTAAACGATGCATATTTTATTATAGGTGCCTTCCGTGTTTTTTTTAGACACTAATTTAAGGGCACGCAATAATGCGTGACATGAATCCTTTAATTTTTTGAAGAGACAACACTTTTTTGATGTCACTCTCTCTTACGTAACATAAATTAATGAGTGTCGTTGTTTGCGCGTCGTAAAAGGGTATTTTTCTTGTAGTGGGTCATGATTGGCTTGGGCCTTTATGGCGTTGTATTTGGCATGCACACACACACACGTATATATATATATATATATATATGTGTGTGTGTGTGTGTATATATATATATATATATATATATAATTTGTGTGTAGTTGTATAGGAGTTAGTTGTTCCATTCATTAGTTTTTGACTGCTTTGAGTTCTTATGTACCAGACGATTTATCTAATATAATCGTGTACATTTGAAGTTATATTTGTGTGTTCTTGAATCGTTTCTTGATTAACATTCCGCATTCTTTAAGCAATTAAGATTGATATTGCATAAGATCCATATTTTTGGGACTTACGTACACTAGTACGCTTAGCATATATATGTGTACACCCAACATACTAGGGCGCACCATGGTACACTTAGCGTACCCACATGTATGCACAACGTACATCTCCTGACCTCTAAATTATCAAAATGCCACTAGGGATCTTTAGGGCCAACTGCAAACAACTCTAAGGACCAAAATGTCACAAATGAAATATTATGGAAAGGATTCGAATATACCTGAAATCCGGATAATGCTCCCGCATCTCAGTGTCTGGCTCCTAGGTCCACTCGGATTCGCTGTAATGTTGACATTGTACCTTTACCAAAGGTACCTCCTTACTACGCAATATCTTCATTTTCCTTTCTAGAATAGTTACTGACCTCTCGACATAGTTCAGGCGCTCATCAAACTGAATATCATCCAATGATACCATTGTACCCTCGTCTAAAACGCACTTCTACAATTGCATATGTGGAAAGTGTTATGGAACTGATTAAGCTCCCTCAGAAGATCAAATCCATACACAACCTTTCCAACCCTGAAAATAATATGGAATGGTCCGATATATTCAGGGCCCAATTTCCCCCTCTTCCTGAAGTGGATCACACACTTCTAGGGTGAGACCTTCAGCAACACCATGTTACCGACTTGGAACTCCAACTCAGATTGGTGCTTGTGGGCATAACTCTTTTGCCGAATCTGAGCAGTCTGCAAATGTTGCCTAATCTGTTGAAACATGTTGGTAGTCTGCAGAACCACATAGGTCTGACCCATGACCCTGTAGCCAACCTCACCCTAACAGACTGGAGTATGACACCTTCACCCATATAACAACTTAATAGGTGGAGCACTAACACGGGAGTGGAAACTATTGTTGTAGGAGAATTATGTAAGTGGTAGGTAGGAGTCCCAACTCCCACCAAAATCAATAACACATACACGCAACATATCCTCAAGAGTCTGAATGGTTCACTCACTCTGACCATCAGTCTATGGATGATATGCACGCAACATATCACCAAGAGCCTCATGAAGTGGATCACACACTTCTAGGGTGAGACCTTCAGCAACACCATGTTACCGACTTGGAACTCCAACTCAGATCGGCGCTGGTCGGCATAACTCTTCTGCTAAATCTGAGCAGTCTACAAATGTTGCCTAATCTGTTGAAACATCTCGGTAGTCTGCAGAACCACATAGGTCCGACCCATGACCATGTCGCCAACCTCACCCAAACAGACTGGGGTATGACACCTCCACCCATACAACAGCTTAATAGGCGGAGCACTAACACTGGAGTGGAAATTGGTGTTGTAGGAGAATTATGTAAGAGGTAGGTAGGAGTCCTAACTCCCACCAAAATCAATAACACATACACACAACATATCCTCAAGAGTTTGAATGGTTCACCCACTCTAACCGTCAGTCTATGGATGATATGCACGCAACATATCACCAAGAGCCTCATGCCCAATTCCTCATGGAACTTCTTTCCAGAAGCAAGAGGTGAACCGAACATCATGGTCTAAAATAATAGAGATCGGAACCCCATGGAAAGCAACGACCTTGTGGATATACACATCGGCCAACTTCTCGGCCGACGAACTCTCCCGAATTGCCAGAAAATGGGCACTCTTAGTCAATCAATATACACATCGGCCAACTTCTCGGCCGACTGAGTCTGCCTAATTAAACCCACAAGTGCAGAATCCATAGATATCCTCATCCATACCACCGAAACAGAAGATCCAACCTACTTATGGCTCAGGGCGTCCGCCACTAGATTCTCTTTACCAGGATGGTAAAGGATCTCGCAGTCATAATCCTTGACTACGCCCGGCCACCTGCGCTGCTTCATGTTCAGGTTCGGCTGATCTAAATATGCCTCAAGCTCTTATGATCCTTGTAGATGGTACAACAAACCCCATAAAAGTAATGCCTCCAAATCTTAAGGCAAAAACCACCGCTCCGACTCAATATCATGTGTGGGATATCTCGTCTCATGCGGCTTCAGCTACCGTGAAGCATAAGCTATCACCCATCCTCTCTGCATGAGGACTGCCCCAACCCAGTGATGGACGCATCATAGAAAACCACAAAATCCTCGACTCCCTCGAGAAGGGTCAAAAATGAGGCCTCTCAAAGTCTCTGCCGAAGGGTCTCAAATGCTGAATGTTGCTCAGGGCCTCACCGGAAATCCACCCCTTTCCTCATCAGACGAGTAAAGGCTACTGCAATCTTGGATAAATCTTGAATAAATCTCCGGTAGTACCCTGCCAAACCCAGAAAATACCTGATATCCGAGGGAGACTTCGGGAC